AGACGCTGGCTCAGACCTGCTGGGCATCGAAGTGTGTGCAGCTCAGAAGTGCTGGGACTTGGCACCTCGGAGTCAGCCTACACCACTGGGGGGCAGGAGCCAGTGGGGATGCTTCTCCATTTGACCCCAGGTGGGCGATCCCAGGAGGCACCCAATACACTTGTCCAAATGTGCAGGTGGGACCGCACCTCAGTGCCCACGGCCTTGATCATGTTCCTCCCCCGTGTTACTCTTCCTGGCCCTTCCTCCCGCTCCCTGAGGGACCACCTCCCAAATAAACTACGAACACGAGTCCTTGTCTCACGCTTTGCTTTGGGGGAGAAACGCAGACTAAGCAGTTGGTACTAGACGTGGCCTTAGAAAGCAGACCCTCTAAATGGGATTTGGGGACCAGATCAGTCATTGGCAGAAGGCAGCAGAGGCCCTGTGGGTGGTCATAAGTGGGTTGGTGATAAGCCAGGACATCCGAGAGCATCATCACCACCAAGACTTGCCTGTGGTGGGTTGGAGTAAAGTATAGGAGGAGAGGGGAGCGTTGGGTTAGATGAAACTACCACACCGTAGTATGGAGCCAGTGGTCATTATAAGAATTGTTGAGTTATTAACTGCTATGAAAAGCCTTTAAAAAAAAAAATAGGTGGCAGGCTTACTAGCCAACTATCAACTTTGTGGTGTGCTCTGAAGACCAGAAACCTTCGTGGCTCAGAGAGATGGACTGGCAGCTGCAGACAGACCAGGCTGGCGTTCAGACCCAAGGTTGCTTCTGTGAGGCTGCAAGGGAATAGGTGCATCTCCGCGGGTTGCCTGGCAAAGTCAGGGCTTTCGTCAGGGAAGAAAGGGACTCAGGCCTGGGACAGACACGGTCTTGGTCTCCCATCTCCCTCTGGAAGCTTTGGGCAGGCAGAAGCCCCCACCCCCTAGCCAAAGGAGCACAGCCACCTCCTGAGAGGAACGCTACACCACTTGCCCTGCAAAGGCCACACCTGGGTCAGGCCTCGCGAGATGATACCTGTTGACCTCTGCCCCCAGGAAGTACAGTCCCCGCTGTGGGAAGAACTAGATGACTCATCAGAATAAATGCAAGATCCGGCTTGGCATGTGCTGGGGAAACGGGGCAGCGGATCCTGAGGCTGTTGGGCCAGTGCCGTGGCTGGAAGGGACATGAAGGCCCCGGCAAAGGTCTGAAGTTGTTCCTAATGCACTGCTGGGTGGACCCCTGGAGTCAATGAGGAGGAGCTACCAGACGCAACAAGTGGAAAAGGCATCAATCCTTAGACTGTGAGAGAAGTGAGGTCACAGGGCGAAGCTGAGACCCGCCGGAACCTCCACCGAGAACCAGGGAAGGAGAGCTGGGCTGCGAGTGCGAGTCCTGCCGAAACCTCCACCGAGAACCAGGGAAGGAGAGCTGGGCTGCGAGTGCGAGTCCCACCGGAACCTCCACCGAGAACCAGGGAAGGGAGAGCTGGGCTGCGAGTGCGAGTCCCGCCGGAACCTCCACCGAGAACCAGGGAAGGAGAGCTGGGCTGCGAGTGCGAGTCCCGCCGGAACCTCCACTGAGAACCAGGGAAGGAGAGCTGGGCTGCGAGTGCGAGTCCCGCCGGAACCTCCACCGAGAACCAGGGAAGGAGAGCTGGGCTGCGAGTGCGAGTCCCGCCGGAACCTCCACCGAGAACCAGGGAAGGAGAGCTGGGCTGCGAGTGCGAGTCCCGCCGGAACCTCCACCGAGAACCAGGGAAGGAGAGCTGGGCTGCGAGTGCGAGTCCCGCCGGAACCTCCACTGAGAACCAGGGAAGGAGAGCTGGGCTGCGAGTGCGAGTCCCGCCGGAACCTCCACTGAGAACCAGGGAAGGAGAGCTGGGCTGCGAGTGCGAGTCCCGCCGGAACCTCCACCGAGAACCAGGGAAGGAGAGCTGGGCTGCGAGTGCGAGTCCTGCCGGAACCTCCACCGAGAACCAGGGAAGGAGAGCTGGGCTGCGAGTGCGAGTCCCGCCGGAACCTCCACCGAGAACCAGGGAAGGAGAGCTGGGCTGCGAGTGCGAGTCCCGCCGGAACCTCCACCGAGAACCAGGGAAGGAGAGCTGGGCTGCGAGTGCGAGTCCCGCCGAAACCTCCACCGAGAACCAGGGAAGGGAGAGCTGGGCTGCGAGTGCGAGTCCCGCCGAAACCTCCACCGAGAACCAGGGAAGGAGAGCTGGGTTGTGAGTGTGAGTTCTGGAGGCTCGGTGTGCACAACTCCCAGAGTTAGCTCCAGGGGAACCTGGGCATCAGGGGCCCCCCACTTCTGTGCGTTTTACTCCAGGAGCTCGAGCTGGTTCTCACAGTGACTTGGAGAAAAATTTCCCTCGTGCAGGAGGAGGGACAAAGGGACCACTTGAAATACATCGGAACACTGTTCTTTTTAACAAGGCCTGCTCTCAGGCAACACTTGAACCAGAGCCTCACGCCTGGGAAGTGCCCCACTGCAGCCACCCTGTCCCACCTAAGGGCAGGGGTGGGGATGGGCGAGAAGCACTGTGAAAGTCGCAGAGCAGAGGCCCAGGCTCCCTGAAAGGCCTCCGCACAGACGCATGGACCTTAGATGAAGGGCGGAGCCCGGGCCAACAGGTTTGGAAGGAACAGACGACTTTGCTAATGAGGGTCGTAGAGGCCACGGTCACGGGCCTTTCCCTCTGTCTTTGGTTTTGACTTGGGGCTGAGGCTCCCCTTGCAATACTCCTGGGGGTGCGCACCCTGGATGCGCCGCCGTGTGGAGAAAGCCTGGGAGGTTCCTGCCTCCCAGGCGGCCCCCTTGCTGCTCCCACGCCAGTGGAGCTAAGAGGAGACATCTGTGCAGGGCGAGGGTGGGCGTGGGGGATGTTGCTGGGCCAGAGGTTTTCATGCTGTTTGGGCCAAAGTGGGTGGGGTGGCCCGAGCTTGTTTTATGTAACTCAGTCTGGAGGGGAAAACAAAACGAACTGGGAAACTGCAAGGAGCCCTTTTGAGCTCTTCTGATTTTTCTGCCTCTGGGCTTTGTCAGGAAGACCATTCTTTGTGCAGGAGGGTTGGTATAAAAAGGCTTGGCCTTTTCCTTGAGGATGCGGGGCGTTTCCCTGAGGGTGGGTCACTGGTGAACATTAGCCCAGCGTCCTTCTCCTGGCTGAAGCTGCCCCCAGCTGCTGCCCTCCAGGCCTGGGGACAGCCCACGAGGAGATCCTTCCTGCTGGGAGGGTGGAAACCACAGACGCCACCAGGGCTGGTGGTGAGTCCACTGCAGGTGGCACCTGGCAGGGAGAGCTGCAGGTGGACAAGGGGACCTGGGCATTTAATGGCCATAAGCTCGACACTGGCAACAATGAGACAAGGTCACTACATAGAGCCGGTGCATCTGTGGCTGTCTGAAGAGTCAGTCTGACCACGGGAGACAGGCCCCTCACCACAGGCAGCCCCTTGAGAACAAGTTTTGTTCTGGGACAGGAACAAGCAAAATCCTATCTGAAGGTGATTTTCCAGAAGGTGAAAAAGCCCAGGAACCATATGGGAGAGGAACGGCTGGGAGAGAAAGAGGAAAGGAACATGGAGAAGAGACAAAGACGGTCCGATGGCCTGTTTCAGATGTTTGCTGACCTCTTACATGATTGCTCCAGAGGCCGGCACCAGGGACCACGCGGTGATAGTTCATCCGCCTGCTGGCCTCACCACGGGGGGACTTTATAACAAATTGAGCGTCTAATTTGCAGCTGCTTTGCAGGAAGGATTTAAGCAAGCACAGACATCTGACAGGGTCAATGGGAAGTGCCATCCTACATCAAGGGGTGATTGTACCAGAAGGCCTCTTCCCACCCGCTTTTAACTCAGAAGTCCAGAAACATTGGGCCACTGAAGCAATTAAAAAAGGATGACTCGCCACCCAGCCGGTGTGGCTCAGTGGTTGAATGTCGACCCTTGCACCAAGAGGTTGCTGGTCTGATTCCTGGTCAGAGCACATGCCCAGGTTGTGGGCCAAATCCCCAGTAGGGGGCATGCAGGAGGGGCCAATCGATGTTCTCATTAATGTTTCTGTCTCTCCCTCTCCCGCCCTCTCTCTCTGAAATCAATAAAGAAAAAATAAAAAAAGATGGCACGCCAAATCAAGGTTACCAAAAAATGGTGATATACTTGAAATGCTCACATTTAATGAAATTGCACTTTTAACCCAGAGAGATGAGGCAGGGCATGCACGCACACCTGCGAAACCCGCAGGGCGAGAACAGCCGAAGGCCCGGCTCACCGCTGCGGGCGCTCAGCAAGCCTCCCGGTGCGAGTTCACTTGGCAGGTCAGGTGGAGGTGTGCTCCGCCTCGCCCGGGCTAACGTTGGGCAGATGACTGATGCCTCTGCGGCCTCTCTGGGCCCCCACCCAGCTCCCGCTCAGCAGCCACAGTGCTCTCCCCAAGTGTGGTCTGATCACTGCCCTCCGTCTGTGAAAACACCCCGCTCCTCATCAGACCTGAACGTGTTCACTTGTTTATATCCGTGTGCACCCATACTTTCCTGTTTTATGGTTACTATCACTATTTTGGTGTTCAGACCATCCCTGATTTTGGCCCCTGGACCAAAATCCAAGCTGGCTCTGCGTCATACCGGCATGTCCCCCTCCTGCCTGAGGCACTTCGTCGGAAGGAGCATCCCCAGGCAGAGTAGCTGTTCTGGAGCCGCCCTGCTTAGGTTTCAATACTGGCGCTGCTCCTGACGCCTGGGCAGCTCGGGTAAGTCCTGTAACCTCGCCGAGCCTCAGTTTCCTCAAAGGTACAACGGGGAGGACAGGACTTCCCTCGTGTTGCCGCCGGGAGGCCTCCGGGCTAAAGCCAGGGAAGGGCGTGGCTCCGCACCTGCCAGGGTGTGGGCCCTGAACGCTATGAAGCATCTCTCAGGATCCCAGAACATGTTTCAACAGGCAGGCCAGGGTGCTGCGTGGGTGTTCCCTGGGAGGCGAGGCTCTGACGCCCCGGCCTCCCCCTTTGCAGGCTCTTTGCTCCGTTTTGGCATGCCTGCAGCCAAGTCTGGGAGGGTTTCCTGGACAGAGGTCCTCGCAGCAGCTGCTCAACCCTGCAGCCTGGTCACCGCGCCCACTGTCCAGCCCAGGCGCACTGCAGGCAGCCGCAGCCGCAGCCCGGTGCAGAGCATGGAGCTTCGGGGGGCTTCCCTGCTCCTCTGCCTCGTCTCCCTCCTGACCCAGGTGACCGCTGAGGCACCATCCCCCAAGGTCAAGAAGGCTGCAAATAGCAAGAAAGGTAAGGCGGGGGACGGGGCCCCTCTCCATCTTCCAGGCAGCTGGTCACCCTCTCCTTTGCTGGGTCCTCAGGCTACTCTTCCTCCTGGATGAGTGGAGAGAACTTCAGTGAAGTCCCCCCGGGGCCTCGTGGCGTTCTCCGAGAGCAGGGCCATTGCCAGAAAGAACGGACTCTCACAGTCAGGAAAAACCTTCCAGATAATCAGAACTGACATCCACTCCTCCCCCCTCCATATTTTAAAGAAATCAAACCCTTTGCTTGGCAGTCTGGAGATGCTCAACCCTCGCCGGAGAGAGCCGATGGGCTGCTTTGAAATCTCCGAACCTGAGGCTTCTCAGCTGTAAAGTGGGGATCGTGGCATCTGCTCCGAGGGCTGTCTGAGGATCTGATGCGACACAGCGTGTAAAATGCCTGGCACATAGGGTGTCCTTGGTGCACAGGGTGAGGAGAGGGATGAGTTAATTCTTGGTTCTATAGGGTACCCCAGCCTTGAGGACATAAAAATGTTCAAACTCAAAGTGGGATGCCGGAAGCAGCTTTTTCTCCCTCCCGCCTCTGGGGTTTGGGGTGTCCTTGGGTCGCCTTGGCTGCGGCAAGCCTGCCCTTGGAGCTTTGCCTGCAGTGAAGTCACCTCAAGCTGTGTTGAGACAACATCAGTGAAATGCCATGGCAATGAACCGGGCTGTCACCCCCACAGGGCTCAGAGGCTAGGACAGTTCCAGGCAGAGACGCAGCAGCCACGTCCAAGAGCACAGAACGGGCAGCAGAGAAGGGGCGCGTGGGCCGCCCTCAGGCCCCTCTGAGCCTCCTCCGTCCGTCCGTGGACAGTTGCCAGTGGCCAGGGAACTAGCGAAGCAGGAAGAGGCACATCAGGGCCGGGGAGACCCCTAGGGCGGTGACAAAGAACGGGGCCAAGCTGGTGGAAAATAATCTCCACAGTTTGGTTTATAAGTGAGCAAAGAAAAGTTCCAGGCAGCATGGATATTATGCTGACTTTGTTTTGAAAAGGGGATTTATATGAAAATACATATTGATTTGTCTATGCACAGAATTTTTCTGCAGGGATTTACAAGAGTTAGTAACAGTGATTACCTCTGGGAAGAAAAACTAGGTCAGCCAGAGGTAAGGCCTGCAGTTGGGACTCCAGGGCCACGTGGCCACACCTGGCCAAGGAGCTCGGGGGGGCAGGATGGCCCCAAAGGGGGTCACACGTCCTTATATCATAAACGGGGGCCCTGGAGGGCCTCTGAGATAGAGAGGCAGGGCGAGGGCCTCCCGACTCCTGGCCCAGAGCTGTGGAGACCCCCCTCTTCCTCGGGCGGGGCACTGCTGGTAGTCCCTGGAGGGCCCCTTGCACGCACAGGTGTCCTCTGAGCCGACGAGCATAGAAAGGCACCCCTTTCCACGCTCTGACCAGCACCGCCAGGAGCAAAGCTTAGGGCTGGACATGTGCCCCAACTTGTCCCCTTAGCTGAGTGCCCTTGCGCAGTGCCCGACTTGCGCCACCTCACGTGGCACCCTGTCCTGGTGTATCATGTGGCAGGAACAGATGCTGCAGACTGGCCAAGGCAGAGGCCCAGGGAGGGGCACACAACCCCGCCAGGCTGCTTTCCCAGCCCCAAACCTCCCTTTTTGGCCTTGCTCATCTGGGAGTCACTTTCCTCGTATTTGGAGTCACATCACTAGCTTCTGTACACGCGTATGCTTTGCTTGCATTCGTTCTCTGTGATCCCCCTGCAGAGGCATCTGTTGGGGGCTCAAGGCTCTGGGGTGACCCCCATGACCGTGGACTTCATGCCGGGAAATGGACCGTGGAGCCCCTTTCCCGCCCTCTGCCCCAAGCCGAGTGCAGCCTTTCCTGAGGTCCCTGGGATTTCAGAAACCAGTCTACCCGCAGAGCCCTGAACTTACACACGTGGGAGGACCGCGCGCATAACCAGCCCGTGTAATTCCAGCAGGGCCTGTGCTCACCTGAGGAATCTGTGCTGTCGGGGGTGGGAGCCTTGTGCCCGGGGTTCGGGCTAGCCCTGCCAGCTGCTGGCTCTGCGGTCTGGCCCCAGTTTCCCATCTGTGCAGCAGAGGTGTAGAAACATCACCCAGCTCCCAGGGCTGATTACCAGCCCAGCGCTGTTCGCATGCTTTGCTTCCCTCAGCCTCTGGTTTTCTGCAGAGTCCTCTGAGGCAGGGCTCTGATCTGCCCATTTGACAGATGAGGAAACTGAATCCAGAGGGGCCGAGCAACTAGCTCCAGGTCACGCACATCCACGCGACCTCGGAGCCCACGCACACACTTACCTGTGCCGCCACACTCGGTCCCAAGCTGGAGCTCCTGCTTTGCTGATCTGTGTCCTGTTCCTCCAGCCTGGGCAGGTGAACCTGGGAGGTCGCAAGGGCCCCCAGCTCTGTGCTTCATTCTCTTCTGGAGCTGAGAGGGTGTTGGGGGCCACTGAAGACTCTGCCTGTGCCCCCAGCCCCGCACCTGCCAATCCCAATGCCATGCGATCTTCAGCAACGCCCCTGAGCAAATGTAGTACAGGTCTCACCTAGGCAGGAGCAGGTGACAGGTCCCCCTGGCAGGGGAAAGTCACGACCCATTACTTACACTATCACCAGCAGGGACAGAGAGAGACGAAGTGTGCCAACAGATCAAGGTCGAGGGGGGTCCTTTCCCTTTGTCCTCTGTGGTTGCTAGAGCTGGGGTCACCCCACCCAGCTCCTGCCCTGCCCAGTCCCTACTGCCTTCCGCACACGCCCTGATCACCTCCAAGTCCTTCTGGCTTCATCCTAGAGGTCGTGAGCCCGAAGATGTTTGAGGAGCTCAAGAGCCAGCTGGACAGCCTGGCCCAGGAGGTGGCCCTGCTGAAGGAGCAACAGGCCCTGCAGACGGGTGAGTGTTGGCGGTGGGTTTCTGGGTGGCAGTGCGCCAGAGGGAAGGGCTCAGGCAGGCAGCACCAGGGCCCCGGCTGGCTCCCGCGTCCAGCCCTGTAGGCCAGAGCACCCGGTTCGGGGAGGCCCCTGCCAGCCCGATCCCTCTCGGGAGATGCGCTGACGTGCAGGAGTGGAAATGTCCCAAAGGACAAAAGCTCGCCCACAGAGTCCGTCATCATCCCCCGGAAGCAGGATGATGCTCTGTGGCAGAGGTGGGGTCCACTCTAATGAGCTCCTAGGAGCTGCTCCACTCAGCCAGGCCCGGCAGCCTCGGGCGCCGGCTCCGCCCTGCAGTCAGCGGCTTTGCTGGAGCTGTCGCTCTTAATCCTTATAATGGTGCTGAAGCAGGGTCATCATCCCCGTTTTAAAGATGAGAAGGCTGAGGCGTGGAGAGGCCCTGCTCCTTGCCCACCCTCACCTGGCCAGTCAGTACAGCTTAGGACTCAGCAGCCGCCCAGTGTGTGCGGGGGTGAGGGGAGGCGGGCTGTGGTCTCCCTGGCCCTCCACTCTCCAGCGAGCAAGGGTGGGCCACTAACCAGGCAGCTGCGGGGCCGGGGCACTGTCACCGCCACCTGCGCCAGCCCGCCTGGGCAGCTGTTCTCTCCACCGTGTTCCTCTCACCTCGTGCTTGGTGACCTTGCCCTGGAGGACGCAGAGAAGGTAGACTAACAAGATAGGGGACACTCACACGTGCGTTTACGACGTGCCGGGCACTGCTCTGAGGTCTTTACGTACATCGACTCATTCTTCACGAAAACCCACGCAGTGGCCCTGTCTCTAGAACCTGCCTCCGTTTCTACCCAGAAGCTGGGTCTTGCCAACAGCCAAGAGGAGCACAGCCTGGCTCTTAGCTCTGCTAGGCTGCCTCTCGGGTTATTACCTGGGGGTCACCCTGGCTCCCCTCAGGAAGTCTACAAACCTCCCTGTGCCCACAGCCACACTCTCACCTGCTGCTTCTCTGACCATGGGACATTCATCTCCTGGGCCTGGGGCCCTCCCCTCCCCTCCTGCCTCCTCAGAAACCTCCAAGATCCTTTTCCCTGGGCAATTTTCACACATCTTCTCCCTCTCAGATCTTTTCTTTCAGCATTCACATTGCCATCCTTCCGTCCCTCCAGTGTGCCACACTCTGTCCTCCACCACAGGGCCTTTGCACATGCTGTCCTGGCAGCCGGAACTGTTTCCCCCAAGATCCATGTAATAAATACCTCCAGCAGCATCATCTTGAAGTCTTTAATCCCTCTTCAGTTAAAAGCTCTCACAGAATGATGTTCTTTCCTTTATCTCATTTGCTGCAACTTGCAATGGTATATTCACGTGCTGATTTCTGTCTGCCTCCCGCACTACACTCAGCTCCAGGCACACAGAGCATGTTTGCTTCTGGTTGCCCTGGGCTCTCCCGCCAGCCTGCCCAGCACGGTGCCTGCCACATACCAACAACGCTCAGGAGATCTTTGTTCAAAGGAGGGCAAACATGCGATTCTGGGCAACGTGCTCAACCTGGCAGGTGGGGGCGAGGGGCTCTAGGAAGGAAGTGTCTAGCATGTTCTGGCTTCAAGTAACAGAGAACCGAACAGTAGCTTAAACAACAAGTGAACCTGGAAGTAGGCAGCTGCTTTTGTTCAGAAGCTTCACGCACGATGCCAAGATGTCGGCCCCAGATCCAGGCATCATGACTGCGTCAAAGGGAAGGTGGGCCAGCCACATCTGTCCCATTTATCAGGAAAGTGAAGGTCTCCCGTTTCCAGCCTAGCGGAGCTCTGTCCTATGAGCACCTGCGGCTCCAATGCCAGAGGAGCTTTTCCAGACCTCGTAGTGGAGACAGACGAGGAGGGGAAGTGGGAAGGGGCGTTGACCAGGTCAGTCACAGCGTCTGGATGAGCACAGTGCCCCTCTGGGCCTCAGTTTCCTCATCTATGGAGTGGAAGGGGCGGGGAAAGAGGCAGGAAAGCTCTAAGTTCTGGCTCACATCTAAGCCTTGTGGTTGCGCAAAGTCCATGTGACCCAGATGCCACTTTCCCCCGAGGCGAGGGGATGCGGTGGGGACCTCCCCGCACACAGTCCATGGTGTATGGAAATCCAACACACTCCTCTGCTGATTCCCAGGAGGGTCACAGTCTCTTGGCCCCCTTGGGGACCTTCTCCCTCTCATCGTCTCCTTCACTACCACAGCCCGCAGATCACCTTGCTGTAACCCACCCAAAGCTTACCTGAGCTCTGTCACCTAGCCAAAGAGTTAGGGGACCAACCCCCAACTACCACCTGCCCCTTTTCTACCCCAATCAAAATCCACATGCGAGGTCCCCACCCAGCATGCCAGGCACAAGGAGGCAGAGGTGACCCTGCCAGGGCCCTGCTCGCCAGAAGGCTCCACATATTCACGGACTCGGTGTATTCACTGGAATCCTTAAAGGATACGTAGGACGATAAAGAGGGCCGGCCGGCAGAGGGCATGGCAGGAGCGAATCAAGGAGGAGGAGGGATCCAGGGGATCATGCCCAGAGCACAACAGAATGTTAGCAATGTGACAAGGTGCTGAGAACTAGCATTCGCTGAGGACCGACTCTGTTGGAGGGAGTGTTGCGGGTGGGGCTCCCAGAAAGCAGCCCTGAGATAGAATTCATCCTGCAGGAGGTTCATGGGGGATGGGTGGGGGGACCAGAAGGGACAGAAGGAGGTAGGAGCGGGCAGAGAGAGAAACAGCCGCACTGTGGTCGCATGAAAGCCTCGGCCCACTGCAGAGGGAGCCCCGGCAGCAGGAGGACTCTCAGAGCTGTCTGAGTCGGGGCTTATTTGGGGCAGGAGGGCGCAGGCCTTGGACAAGGGCACGGCCTCAGGCAAGGTGGCCATCTCCATGGAGACCGTTTCCAGGGGGCGGAGAGCGAAGGGCTGTTTTCCCACAGCACTTGCAGCATCCTTCCTCCCCAGAGGGGTCAAGCAGCATGTCATAGCGCCCCCAGCAGGAAGGAAAGGCAGGTGGGGCCAGGCTGGAGGGGACTGAAGGCCAGCTTGGACAACCTGCAGTGTAGCAGGAGGCAGAATGGCTGACTTGGGACAGGCTGTGAATAATGCCTCAGACCTGAGCTTAGAGTTGCAGAAGAGTCCGATGCCCATGGGGACAGGCAGATACTTGTCGAGTGAACAGAGTGGAAGTAACAATGAGTGAGAGGATGGGATGGGGTGCAGTGCAGACCCACCCCGACATTTTTGGGGTCAGAAGCAGGACAAATGGAGCATACACTCTATCTACCTAAATACTTAAGTTACAAACCAAGACAAAAACCCAACTGCTAAGTAAAAACACTCTCTAGCCTCCTAATGCTGAAGGGAGGGACCTGCCTTGGGTAGAGATGACAGTCTTGGGGAAAGGGTGTAACCTTGAGGTTAAGGGGTGTCTGCAGCTGAGGGGCGCACCTCATGGCCAGCAGCAGGAGCCCCAGGACCTCTTGAATGAGGACCTGGGCTCTGCATAGTGCCCACCACAGCAGCCCTGTGGCCTGGGTGTGGGGACTGCCCAGGACCCATAGGATGGTGAGGGACAGGATGGGGGGGCCCTCGCTGTGGGTTCTTTGGCTGGGGACCCAGAGACCTTCGTGACAGCCATTTCTCCCCTCCCAGTCTGCCTGAAGGGCACCAAGGTGCACATGAAGTGCTTTCTGGCCTTCGCCCAGGCCAAGACCTTCCACGAGGCCAGCGAGGACTGCATCTCGCGCGGGGGCACGCTGGGCACCCCGCAGACAGGCTCGGAGAACGACGCGCTGTACGAGTACCTGCGCCAGAGCGTGGGCAGCGAGGCCGAGATCTGGCTGGGCCTCAACGACATGGCGGCCGAGGGCGCCTGGGTGGACATGACCGGCGGCCACATCGCCTACAAGAACTGGGAGACGGAGATCACGGCGCAGCCCGACGGCGGCAAGGCCGAGAACTGCGCCGCCCTGGCCGGCGGCGCCAACGGCAAGTGGTTCGACAAGCGCTGCCGCGACCAGCTGCCCTACATCTGCCAGTTCGCCATCGTGTAGCCCTGGGGACGCCAGGGCCGGGGCGGGGCCGGGGGCGGGGCGGGGCGGGGCGGGGCGGGGCGGGGGCGGGGCCGGCCAGCCTCGGGCCCCTGCTGCCAGGGCTTGGAGCCCCCTTTGCAAATAAAGTTGGTGCAGCTTTCGGAGCGTGGCTGCGTCTGTGCCGGGTGCTCAGGGCGGGGCCGGGCGGACACGCGCGTTTCACCCGCGGGTGGATTCCCGAAAAGAGCTTTCGGGAGGGAGGAGGAAGGGAACCCGGACTGCTGTCTTGTTCTTCTTACAGCCTGTATTTTTCGTGTCACTTCCTACCTACAGAAGAGGTGCAGGAATTCCTGGACACCCTTCAATCAGATTCTCCAAACATCAACGTTTTCCCCTTACTTGCTTGATCCTATTATTTTTTTCTGAACCATTTGACAGTAAATTGCAGGTGTGAAGCCCCCTACCCCCAAATATTTGAGTGTTTCCAGAAGGCAAGGACATTTTTTTTGCCTAAGCAAAGCACTGTTATCGAAGCGGGAAAGTTAACACTGGTCCAGTCTTGTGGAAGTTACAGCCCCGTCGGATCTCCAGGCCTCTGTTTCTCAACTCACTGCACTGCTGAGTCCTGCTGGGGGGGGGGGGGGGGGGGAGCAGAGGCTGCCCACAGGGGATCGGCACCCCCTCCTTGCCCCAAGACACTTGGGGAGGCGGTCCAGAAGCCAAATATGACAATTGCCAACGTTGCCTGACTGGTGTGTCCCCTCCTTCCCACTCTCCACAGAAAACACGTTAACAATAAGAGTGCCCACTCACTGAGCCCGCCATATTGCAGGGAATGTAAGTATGTCGTCTTATTTCATCGAACCCACCCAGGACAAGGTTTGTTATTATCCACATGCCCTAGAAAAGGAAGTTGAGGCTCAGGATGTGAAGTGACTTCCTTTGGTCACACAGCTCTTGAGCGGCAGGGCCAGGGTTGAACCCAGAGCTGATTACAAGGGCCTTGGCCTTTCTGCCGTCACCGTCATGCTCACTCCCTGTACTGGAATTGGCCTGATGGTCCCCAGAGGCTCTGGCAGCTCTTGGCGTAACCTGGGCCTTCTGGTCATGTAGGCCCAGCTGTGGTGCCACATCTCAGGGGAAGCCTTCCTTATCCATCAGGCTTCTGCAGCTCCTTGTTCTGCCTGGTGTTTTGGAGTGTCTCCCCTCAGCAATAAATTGGTGATAGATTTGATCCACGGTAGTGGGTGGGCTGGCAGAGGCCAGTCAACTTGGCATCGTCACAGAAAGCATCTCATGTTATTCCACAGTTATGGGAAGAGGTGATGTGATACATTATAGGTGCAGAAACTCGGGCTCAAGAGGGTGATGTGATTTGTTCAAGACGGCCCAGTAGCCAGAGGCAGTAGCCAGAGGCAAAGCTGAGACTCAGACTTAGGTCTTGAACTGAGTCTTGGGCTCTTTTTACCTCCCTCAGCCATCTAGCAGAAATTAGGTTGCCAGAGATTTTTCAAAGTTCCTGAAGTGGGTGGCGGCAGGCAAGAGGGCACCATGCCTCTGTGCCTGAGCTTGGGTCCTGGGGGAGACGGGCACCGGGGCAACTGCTGGACAGGCAGCGAGAGTTACTCACTTCCAGCAGCAGGTGGCAGTATGGGCAAGAGAATCGTTACCCACCTTTCATCAGCCACCAGTGCTCTTACATTTGGGATATTGAGACCGTGGACTTCAAGCTAGGATACACCTGTCCTGGGACTTAAAAAAAAATTTTTTAAAGACTGTTGCCTTTTATAAATATCTCTCTTTTTATTGTTTTTGTTTTGTTTTTTTGTTTTTTTTTTTAGAGAGAGAGGAAGGGAGGGAGAGATAGAAACATCCATGTGATGGAGAAACATCCATTGGCTGCCTCCTGCACGCCCCCTACTGGGATGTAGCCTGCAACCGGGGCATGTGCCCTGAGCAGGAATCAAACTGGGACCTCTCGTCCACGGCACGGCGCTCAGTCCACTGAGCCACACTGGCCGGGTTGTCCTAGGATCTTTATTTTAAATGTTGATGTTGTATTCATCACAGATTTTTTTTGTCGCGTTAATTTTGATTTAAAAAAAATCTCATTCAAGCATGATTTATCGTGATTACCGATAATCACGCTTCTCTAAATTTTGTACCCCAGTGACTGCGTCACTCACTGCACTGGTCGCAGGCCTGGCTCAGAGGTACAGTCTGCGGAATTGCCCAGGGTGTGCATGAACAATGATAAGGAAGCAGTTTCTAGAGCTTCAGCTTCTGTGTTGCTGTACCAGCCGTGACGGCTGAGGCCTCCTTCTCGATCACCCTCTTCCTCTTTGCCATGGTGTGCTGCCTGTTCAAACAAAGGGACAATCTGAAATATTCGTGTAGGTGTCAAAGAGCAAAAGGCCGAGCGAAAACTCCTTTTGCAAGGTTTCCAACAGACAGCACTTTGACATGTTCCTGAAGAGTTCAAGTACTAGGTGACGTCACTCTTTCCAGTCCCGCCAACTTATTTGTCTGAGGAACAACATTCACAACAAGAAAAGTGAAAAACGGATTGATATTGATGCTGAACCCTGCTTCATTCTATGATGCATGAGCCAATTAAAGAAGAAAAATCCATGTGTATAAAAACATACACTACGCCTGCGATGTTTTGCTCAGTTGTAAGCTGACAGCGAAGGGGTTGAGAGAAAGCTGGCAAGAGCTTGGCGGGCTCTGGGGACAGGGCGTTTGAAAGGTGAGGGACTCCAGCAGGGAGAACAGCTGAGCCCGAGCGGGCAGTCCCTGAAGAGTCCTCAGCTTTCTTCCTTACGAACGTCTCGCCCCAGGTTGACTCTCCTGGTCCCATCGCCGCGGCCACCCCTGTCCTCCTTTTGCATTTGGCCATTCCGTCTGCCTTCCTCGGCCTGGCCATCCCAGCCAAGGAAGGAAGTGCAGATGGAGACCCCGGTGCAGAAGGGGGTCCTGGGAGACCTGGGGCTGGTCTTGATGGCTGTGGGATTCTGGAGAAGGCCTGTGGGGCACCTCGGCCTCCAGTGTCTTCACCTGCAAAATGAGGTTTAGACTAGATGATCTTTAAGGCCCCCCAAGTCCAGGGCCCTGTCCAGCTGTTCTTGGGACTGTCTCTGTAGAATCCCCTCCAGACAAGAAAGCTGTATGGTGGCTGTTTCCTCGGTGCCCAAGCGAAGCTCATACCCTGCACTGGCCCTCTCATCTGCTGCCGTGACCACACGCCATTGCTCCCTCTTTCTCGAGTCTCAGATGGGTACGAACCACATGCCTGGTAGACACTGCCACCTAGAAGTCCTTAGGCACCTAAGTCAGCGTGTTCAAAAGGGAACTCCGTGTCTTCCCACCAAGTCTGCTTCTCTTGCTGAGTTCACCATCTCCATGGGAGGGCCCCACTACCCAGCCACCCACGCCCCAGATGTGTGAGGCCTCGTGGTGCCACATGTGTCACACCGGGATCCAAATAATCATCAGAGCTCTCCCATCTGTCCCCTCCTCTCCAGTTCTGTCGCCACTGGACCCAAGTCTCTTGAATGAAACATTGCAAATCACATCCTTCCTGGTTCCCCATCTCCCCCACACTGCGCCCACCCTCCCTGAGCCAAAGCCTTCACTGCATAAGCACTAATTTTACAGCAGAGAAGGCTGGTTCAAGCCTTGGTCAGAGCTGGCCAGTGGAACTGACCTTCTTTCCTGCACACGTACGTACACATCTGTGCTTCAACTGAAAATGTCACTCTGCCCTGGCCAGGTAGCTCAGTTGATTAGAGTGTTCTCCTGATACATCAAGGTTGTGGGTTTGATCCCCAGTCAGGAGACATGCGATCAACCAATGAATGCCTAGATAAAGAGGAAAAACAAATCCCCCCCCCCCATCAATAAAAGTACAATGTAAAAAGGCACACACAAAAGAAAAGAAAACGTCACTCCACTCATGTGTCCCTGATGCCTTACACCTCCAGGCACATCCTTCCTTTGGTCTGGGCTTTGCTGAGATATTAACAAAAACAGAAAATGAGCAACGTGTATGGTCCTAACGTGTGCTGGGAAGCCCCTTACCATGTCCTGGCCACAACCCAGAAATGATGTCACTTAATATTCATAACAACCTCGGAGACAGGTGTTACTAAACCGATTTATAGTTGAGGACCATGAGGTAGAGAGAGGATCATTTTTCAAAGAACACCCACTGATGGGGCTGGAATTCCAGCATAGGTCTGTTGAGTTCCAAAGCCCACACACCATGTGTAATATACACTAAGTCCTTGAATCTTGAAGAAAGTTGTCAGATGTTTCATGCTGTGAGTGTGAAGGTTTGTGAAAAGGAGTTGACAGTGATGTGTATTGGTGTGTACTTGTGATCGGTGGGTGGTAGGGAAATCCCATAAGAACACATTTTTCCTTCCAGATTTTCTAGGGCTATTTCTTTTAATATTTTATCCTCGCCCGAGGACATTTTTCCATTTTTGTTCAGACAGAGTGGGAGAGAGAGAGAGAAACATCGACGTGAAGGGACACATCGAGTGGCTGCCACCCACACGACCAACCAGGGCCGGGGACAAACTGCAACCGAGGTACGTGCCCTCAGCGGGAACCGAACCCGAGTCTCTCTGGACTGCAGGCCGACGCTCTAACCGCTGAGCCAAACCGGCCAGGGCCTCCCGTCTTCTCAGTTGGCACCTTCCCGATCAATAAACCTTTCTTTATTCCGTATTGATTCTTGGCCTTTCTTTTGAAGCATCAGGCACACGAACCTTGAACCTGTAACAGTCAGTCCCTGGGGTCTCCCCTCTAAGCCCACTTAAGCCACCCACGCTGCCGGCTTCCCTGCAAGAGGACGGAGACCAGCAGGGCGATTTCTCAGCCGGCACTACGCATGTCCGGGGCAGGACTTCTCTGTTACGGGGCTCTGCTGTGCATTGTAAGGTGTTCAGTAGCACCCCAGCCTCTACCCACTAGGTGTCAGCTGTGACAGCTAAAATATCCGCAGACAGCCCTGGCTGGCGTGGCTCAGTTGGTTGGAGCATTGTCCTGTACACTAAACGGGGGAGGGTTCGGTTCCCTGTCAGGGCATATAAGGTTTTGGATTTGATCCCCGGTTGGAGTGCGTGTTGGAGACAACTGGTCAATGTTTCTCTCTCACA